GAATATCACAGACCATTAAAGCTATAAAATTCTTGCTGTTTGGCTGATACTTGAAGATTCAAAGAAAACCCTTTTACAATGTGCATCTCCTGATGCAATTGCCTAGACTCCACAGTATCACAAAAAGTTACAAAGCCATCGAAATTCGTAGGAATATTACCAAAATCAACACCACGGAAGTTTGAAGGAATATTTAGTTCATTGTTTTCAAACAAAAGGCAGCACAGCAGACAGTGGCTCTCTCGTTCAGGTTTCAAATATATGACATATATTTTTTATTTCTTCAAAATAAATAGCATGCAAAATTTTTCGCGATTTTAATGAAGAATAATGAACTCATTTATTATAGATATAAAACCAAACAGTAGTTTCACTCTATTGAAATTTTTGTGTAACGCCATCGTAATACGCATGTCAATAGCTTAGCGGCAGCCATTAAATTTTCCGACCAATAAGAAGCGCTGAGGTAACTAGCAGCAACCAATAATCTAATTAAATATGCAGCAGCCAGTTTCATAGCGACGTAGCCCTGCTGATTCTTTCTATGCAGTGATTTTACTGTTGAATTATGTTACAGATAACCACCCACTCGCGACTTTTATCGGAAGCAAATGCTCGTGCTATAGCAGGCGAAGCTGGTTTCCTAGGCTGGCAATCACGATGTATAAGTCTTCAAGAATTTCATACGGAGCAACAATTTGTCAAAACTTTGGAGTAAGCCATTATTTTGGTTTTACTAAAGTTTTTCCTCATTGTAAACTCATAAATTTATATTGATTAGCGATTTCTTCATCAAACTTGAGGTGCTGAAGGACTCTATTGGTGCAGTGTGATGACGGGGAGAAAAATTCAAATCTTATTGCATGCAGTCGTTATCTTGTTGATCAAACACGTCGTACATCTTTGGAAACGTTTGACCCGAAACCCGTTCATATTATCTTTATCATCCAGTTGCCAAGAATTGCGCAGGCTGTCAGCATTTTGTGGGATTTCAAGGTGGAAAATGGAAATGTGTCCATATTGACGAACTTCTTGAGGCAAATGAAAAGTTACCGCAAATTGAACTACTTGTTAATCGATCTGTTAGTGATCTTTTTAATTTAAATGTTTCCTCAAATAAAAATCTTGATCTCGGAGACATACGACTATCACTAAATGATGACCTTGAATCACCGACAGACAGTGATGTGCAGGTAAGACTAACCTGACTAGGTTCAAGAAAAATGTTGTTTTATACTCTCATGCATTTATAGATCTTGGAACAAAGTGTGCAAACTCGGTAGCTAGTGAGGAAATTCAGGCTGTGAGCTGGCTAATTGGTAGCCTTCAACAAAAAATAGACGATCTTTACGTATATATTATACTAATGGCCAATTTTTACTACATTTTATTACATTTAATTCATCGAAAGTGATCTATTTAAAGATTGGTTGATCTATATAAAGCTCAATATAGATAAAAATGAGGCATTTTTCTAAAAATAAAAGATACCGTGATTTTTTTACAAAATAAACAAATTTATCAACCGTCCTCAGCAGTTTTCTATCGCTTTGATTAAAAATTTTCTTTATCATTATTTGATTATATAGAATATTGAGGAGAATTTCTACGAAGAAAAGATACGTCCCACAGTCTTGCTGAGGAACTGCATGCAAACTGCTGCTGCGAGAGTCTTTGACGAATCAAATGACGTCTTGAGAGCCACAAAACGAATTGAGATATTACTGGATTGCTTACCTGCCGAAGATGGAGATGAAACAGGTTTCCAACAATTTTGCATTTTGTCTTTTCGTGGCTGAAATTTATTGTGGGACATGCGCATATACATTTTTTGTTTGTTTTAGAACTATCTACCATTCTTGTTGTTCGTATGTATAAACTGCTCCGCGAGCGTGATGAAAGATGCTTTGATGATCAAAGACTTTGGCTTCAAGAGGAAGCTGTCAGGGACATCTACAGGAAACTGGCACATTTAGGAAAGCTTTATGGCAAAAATTATCGTCAATTGTGTCTCCTATTTTGTCCGAAGTTATTGCGTATTGTGATCGTAATAAAAACCTCAACTTGCTTTGAAGAAAACACTTGGACACGAAAGTTATGGCTTGAAATGTTAAAGGAAGACAACCTTACGGCAATAACCTATGAATCATTCATTTCACCTGTATCCAGGCTACGAGAACGAGCTACTGTGTTGAGCAGTGGAGTTGGACATCCTTTGAAGGAAAATTTCCATTCTCCTGGATAATTAAAGACATTGTTCACGTTCTTTGTTGCAAGGGTATGTAGAAATTTTATTGTGTTTTCCTCTATGTTCTACGGCAGTTTAGGTTTGCTTCGATTAAGCGAGCGCGGGCTATTTAGTTCTAGGTTGCTCGTTCAGTGACCGCTGTAGTTTTGAAAATTTAACAAAATATAAAATTTTAATTGGAAAAACTTTGCAACTAGGGTTTGCGCAATAAATTTACATAAATTCCTACGAACAAGTTATCACGTATGAGAAATTTACATAAACATGAGAATTTTAAATTAATTTAAAATCTTAAAAGTAAAATAATTTTAACATTTGAGAAGACTGGAATGTATATAAAAGTAAAAGGAATCTAAAATAGACATGATGTTGCACGAACAAACGGTGCTCATACGTGGTCATGTGTGATTATGGGTCTGAAATGCCCGTTTTCCTGGCAAACATGCAGCTACTGCAAAGCGGAGTAATCACAAAGAGTTTCAAAATTGCTTTGCAATAGATGTGATTAATCACAACCACATGAAATGTAAGCTTTTTTAAAAATAATAGTTATACTTTCCATTGTATACCTAATATACCTACCACTTAATCTTAACTTTTGCATCTTGCTCAAATTTTCAGAAAATGGTTGTCACATCTAAGATGGAATGTTAACTCATATTGATTTAGTTCATATAAAGATCTTCCAGGTTGTTGTTATATTTAAAAAAATATTTATTGTTTTAATCGTTTTTTTTTCGTAGAGAGAACCGAACCATGAGATGATTATAAGTAAATTTTTGAATATAAAAATTGGAAGATGTTTATATAAATTAAATTAATATGGACAACCAACCCAGATTCAAACCATTTGAAGAATGTAAACTTTCACTGCTTCCCACTCAGTAAACACAACGAGCCTTGCGATTTCTGTGAGCTCAAAATAGAGAAAATTAATTACTCATCACCCATTGTTTGAGTTAAAAGGAATGTTTATATTATACTTTAAGCTTTTTCAATTCAATTGTTCACCTTTTTTTCAATATTTAAACACTATTTTCAATAATTTATAATAATTTGATGTACTCTGTTTGTATGGTTAGTCTCTGAGAATATATTAACGATCAAATTTTAAAATTGGTTAGAACAATTGTTCTTCCTTCAACATATGCTTTTGTTGCATTTCAGGAGTTATTACAAACAGATTGACGTCATTAAGAAATGTTTTTGATGCTTCTCCTTTGGGAAGATTGAAGAAATTGGCATTTGAAGATTCGGATATCAAGGATGAAGCAGCGAATTGTTATTTAAATGACTTTTTACATATGATGTATAAGCCAATTGTTAAAAATGAGCTAAAGGTTTGTTAACTTTGAATATTCAATGTGCTGGCCAATGCGTTCAAAGCACATTTTTAAGAGCAACGTACGTTTTGGTCACCGATAGTTGTAAAGCAACATTTATAGAAATGGACGTATACACGTTTAAACAAATGTTATATTTCTATTTTACCAGTTGATATACGACGCTGTACTTGCGACGTCTTGGCAAATACACCAAAGTTTTCATGAAAACGATGAATTTCACCTGGACATTCCTCTTATTCATTTTGCCTATTCCATGATTCAATCACGTTTGCTGAATTTCTCTGAACTTGTTCATGCATTTCCTCAAGTGGTAGAAAAACGTATGGAGTCTCCATTACCAATTAAAGATTTAGAATTGGTAATTCACAAAGTTAATTACCTGTTGATTTGTAGAATATTGTTGCTATAGAAGTATAGACGTGATATGTAATTTTATACTCTACCCACCGATTGTTTTGTCAAAGCATGTACAGCGAATTTTAATACTTTATCTTCACTTCAACAAGTATTCAAAACAGTAGCATTTGACTAAAAAACTTTGTACAATGGTATACTTTCTCCCACCATTTTAGTGCCTAGATGCAGTAGCACTTCAGTGTTGTCTAGAAGAACTGGAGCCTAGTTTAAATAATTTTACGAGTCTTCGTAAACGAAAGACGTGGTGTAATCAAGTTCAATGTCTACGTCCAATCATTCAGGTTATGAAATCGCCAATAACGGACAGTGGGAACTCAAAAAATGTTGTTCCTCTTTTGTCAGAAAAATCTGAGCAGATTTTGAAAGTTTGTTGGTAAGTGTGAATTGATCTTTGGATAAAATATGCAAAGAATTGTGTTTATGATATCATGGCTATGAGAAAAGGAGACTGAGTACGAACATAGTGCATGATATCATAGCAATAATCAAGTAAGCTGATACATCATGTTTTATTAAAGAATTACATACACATAAAAATCTTTCATGTATATTTGTTTGTTAAAAATGTAGAGTACAAAGAAAAATGTTCAAAATATCCTTCATTAGGTCGCTATGAGCTCGATGTTTTAGACATTAATTTTTAACACCTACTAAAAGTTACATTCCGTTCTTACGTGTTTTATATATAGGATCATGTTCACACGTTTGGATGTTGTGCGTATGTTTATTGAACACACTTGTCCACCTGAGGAGTTAAATCATACTGATGATGGTCGTAATGCTTTGAAATTGTTAAAGGTAAAGTTTTCACGTATTAGCTTACATCCATACTTCATTTCTGTTGAATGGAAACGCCTTTTAAAAAAGGCGTTTTTGTATTAAATCATTTTGAATTTTTTTGCTATGCAGTACGGTCGAGTAAGACACAGCTTTACTGATACACGTGGACTGTCAATAAACTTGTGTCCTGTTGTATTTTATGCATCATGTTAAGTTCAATAACCAAGTTGTAAAGGTTACGAATTTGAAAAAGCAAAGCCACTGATTTTCAACAGCAGACTTGAATGGATTTCCTTTAGCTCCTATTTTCTTTTCTAGGCATTAGGTGAAAGTCCCGATTTAACCTCACTACGTACTATAGTTGTTATTGAAAGATTTTTGAAAGACTGTAGTGAAGATTTGCATAAACGAATTGTCAAGTAAGTATACCGATAAAGAGTCACGGTTAATAAATTTGTGGTAATGATCATTTTCATAAAATGCATGTTGATCTCCTACATTGTGGTATTAATTTTGAAAAACAAACCCAGCAATATACTTTTACTGTTTTAAGTGTTTGTGTTAAAATACAATGCATTCAATAATAAATTTTGTATCATAGCAACACATTTTGTTACAATTTATCTGCGCATTAAAGATTTTTAACATGGAACCTTAGTTGTATGTTCATTTATGTTATACTTAGTGAATTATTATAATGTTAGATTTGATGACGAATGCGCCATTTGCAAGAGATCACTTCAAGATCCTGTACAGCTACCATGTCGTCACGTGTTTTGTTTATCTTGCATAACCAATTGGCTTAACGATCATGACGTATGTCCTGCATGTAGACACGATGTTGGCAATGATTTTCAATTGCAAATTAATGAAACAATAAGGTAACTGTTTTGTATTCAAAGCTTTACAATCAAAGTAGACATGTGTATATTTAATGTATGGTATAAACGTTTGGTCATAAATTATGGCGTCTTATCCAGAAAATTAACGTTCATTCTCCACTTGAATGAGTCGTTTTGCTTTTATATATGTGCTGAAATGAAAATATTGCTTTTAATTTATAGTTTTATTTAAAAGAACTTTTAGATTGATAGTAGACTTTCTTAAACAGCTAGATTTGATAAACATGTAATTTAAAAAGTAAAATTTTCCATTTACAAGTACTGTATTTATTTAGGCTTTCGTTGGAGTTGTGGAGAAGTTTTCGTAATCGTTGCAAATCCTTTTTCATGAATGTTGTCTCTGTTTATTGCTTTGGTGATGATTTACCGCAAGATGAACTTGTAAAAAAATTCATTGCTTATGTGATAAACGATGAAAAATTCACAGAAGATTTTTCTCCTTTCGATGGTCACAGCATTGATGTAACTCCAGTTATAAGATCATACATTTTACAACAACTTCTTGCAATCAAAGGAAGGTATGTTAATGCTGAGAAAATCAAATAATTCCACTACGTTTTAGTTGCTAAAATTTTGATTACATTAAATGAGAAACGTCATTTTTGTTTGTGTTTCTGCAAAGAAAATTAGTGATTAGTGTTATTTATGCTAAAGTTCGAGCGCGATTTTGCCGAGTAATGGCAATGTCTTCTGGAAATCCGTTTCAGTGATAACCTTTCTATTTACTTGTATATTGTAAGCTCTTGCTTCATCACAAGTCATCTTTATTATAATGAGAGTGTTTTTGAATTTTTATTCAATAATTTTTTGGCAAAGCACTTTTTTTGATTGGCCAGTTACGATAACTTACAAAGGAGCGGAGAGTTTAGGTGTTTTTCGCGAAGAAACGGTCAATATTCTAGCAGAACAGATCAATTTGCGTTGTTGCTATCAAAGAATTATTGTATTGTATTGTATTGTATTATAAGAATGCATTTTTAAGGGAAAAAGAAGTTTGTACGCATTTAGAAGAATATCTCTGTCGTGCTCAAGGTTTATCTACCAACAAGGAACATTTGATGAACGTTTGCGTGTTGTTTGTTCATTGTATCGAGGTAAATTACGTTTTTATAAAATCATTTTTCAAAATTTTGGGTGCTTTTATTTCTTTGTTGTTAAAGACATAATTCACTTATAAATCTGTTGTTTTGTAGTAAAGTGTGTTTAGTTTTTACGATAATGTAAAAATTCGAGGTGAATTTTAAAAAAGTGCATAATTATAGCTATTGGTTTTATCTTCTTTTAGGATGTTGAAATAGGGAAATTATTAAAAGCAAAACAAACTGAAGGCAGTGTTGAAATCAACATGTTGTGCAGAATCCTTGATAGAACACTGAGGAATTTTCGTACCTACAAAACCCTGAACATTTACAGCCTTAAAGATGTTGCTGCAATTCGGGCTGCGTTTAGTGAACTTCCTGCATATTTCAATGACGATCTTTCCGAAAACCTAAAGAGCAATGCGGAACTTAGAAAATGCATCCAAGCAGCTAAACATTTATGTGACAATGAATATGCTCTTCAGTTATTCCTACTAAAACAGTTGGTCCATAATGATCTAAATGGTTTCGATGGAGTTAAAGAAAGATGTAAGATCAAAGAATTGAAATGGATTTTGCCTCCACAATCTGAGGTAACCACTTGTTCACTTATTAGCTATTTTATACGTACTTGTGTGGTTTGTTTTATTCTTGAAATAAGTTGTATTATTAACGATGTCAAATATTTGATCTTCAAATTCAAATTAGCAATTTATCATATGATATGCTTAGATATAGCACGCTTATGTACAAGGCCACCATTACAATGTTGAAGTTGCATGCTTTCTGATACGTTTCGAAGCAGTTTAAAAAAGTAAAGAATGATTGTTTGTTCAATCTGCAATTGACAATTTGCTGTATTGCATGTCCATATCTATAGGAGCGTGACAAAGACCAGACAGTTTCATGGTCCATCACGACAATTATCATACAGTACGAGAAGCTATTGGCAAAGCAATAATAACATCAAATTATGAAGACACAGTTGATCTTGAGGGTAAGATAATTTATTTTCCTTATAACAACAAGATTGTTTTCACATGGCCAATGTATCATTTTTTCAAAATAAAGGCAAATCAGTGATCAGTTGCTCTCGTTCATAGTTTCAAATATTGACAATAATTTTTATTTCTTCAATAATTTGATGCAAAATTTTCGTGCGATTTTTAATGAAGAATAAATGAACTATCATTTTAACATAACATTTAAAACAACAAACTATTTCAAAATGTCTTAGAGCATCAGGCTTATTTTGTAAAATATCGAATGACTGCTGTGAAAATATTTATGCCCTATACTTGTTTGGAGTTACAATCATCTGCTGAATTGAAGATCTCTAAGATTTTTCTGTGAGAGAAATGCAGTCAGCCAGCCATAGTAACGTTACAAACTTGTTATATTTTATTTTTAGAACATGACCTGTGATGATCGTGCACAGTCATTATATTCTACTGCAGTTTATTGCGAAATAATGACCAACTTTTCCACTGAAAACGTAGAAGATCGGATTCCTTCAAAGGTATATTTATTGATCTTTATCAAAGACTATGTTGCAGGATTTTCTCCCCCCCTGACCTTCTCTGTAATTGGGAAGATGATTTTTTACTTCTTGCTCTTACTTACTTTATGTTTTCCTCATTGTAAATCGATAAATTTATATCTGATTAGCGATTTCTTCATAAATCTTGGAATTGAAGGACTCCTATTGGACAGTTGATGACGGGGAAAAAATACAAATCTTATTGAATGTATTCGTTATCTTGTTGATCAAACAAATGTATTTTGTAAACGTTTGAATGGAAACGTTATTTATCTTTAAAATCAGTTGCCACTGAATTGCAGGTGGCGTCAGATTTTGTGGGATTTCAAGTTGGAAATAGAATGTGAACATACTCTGACGAATTCTTGAGGCAATGAAAAGTTACCGCAAATTGAACTACTTGTTAAAAAATCTGTTAGTATCTTTTTAATTTAAATGTTTCCTCTCATAAAAACTTGATCTCGAGACTAACACTATCACTAAATGATAAACCTTGAATCACTTTCGACTATAAGTGAAGTGTAGGTAAGACTGTTTTGACTAGGTGCAAGAAAAATGTTGTTGTTGTACTCTCATGCATTTATGATCTTGGAACAAATTGTGCAAACTCAAGCTAGTGAGTAAATTCAGGCTGTGAGCTGCTCTTGGAAGTTCAAAAAAATTTAGACGATCTTTACGTATTATTATACTAATGACCAATTAATATACATTTTATTAATTTAATTCTCGAAAGTGATCTCTTTAAAGAATTGGTGATCTATATAAAGCTCAATCCAGATCAATGAGGCATTGTTTCTAAAATAAAAGATACCGTGATTTTTACAAAATGAAAACAATTTATCAACCGTCCTCATGAGTTTCTATCCTTTAATTAAAAATTTTCTTTCATCAAATTTGATTATCCAGAATATTGAGGATGTTTAATTTCTACAAGAAAGATACGTCCCACAGTCTTGCTGAGGAACTGCATTTTAACTTTGTGCGAGAGTCTTTGACGAATCAAATGACGTCAATTGAGCCACAAAAGAAGTTGAATTTATGGATTGCTTACCTAGCCGAAGATTCAGATGAAATAGGTTCCAACATTTGCATTTTGTCAAGGCGTGGTGAAATTATTAGTGGGACATGCAGTAACATTTTTGTTTGTTTTAAACTATTACCATTTTGTTCCAAGAATGTATAAACAGCTCCTCGAGGTGATGTAAGATGCTTTGATATCATAAGACTATGGCTTAAGAGGAATTATGTCAGGAATGTCTACTGGAAATGCATTTAGGAAAGCTTTATGGCAAAATTAAGTCAATTGTGTCTACTATTTTGTCCGATTTTTTGCGTATTGTGATCGTAATAAAACCTAAATTGCTTGAAGAAAAAACTTGGACACGTAAATCATGGCTTGAAATGTTAAAGAAGACAATCGAGGCAATAAACCATGAATTCATAAATTTGTTTTGTATCCGGAGGCTAAAGAACAGCTACTGTGTTAAGCATGTGGAGTTGACATACCTTTTGAATAAAATTTGATTTCCTGGATTTAAAACATTTTCACGTTCTTTGTTGCAAGTGGGGGGTATGTAGAAATTTTATTGTGTTTTCCTCTATGTTCTACGGCAGTTTAGTTTGCTTCGATTAAGCGAGCGCCGGGCTATTTAGTTCTAGGTTGCTCGTTCAATGACCGCTGTAGTTTTTGAAAATTTAACAAAAATATAAAATTTTAATTGGAAAAAACTTTGCGTAACTAGGGTTTGCGCAATAAATTTACATAAATTCCTCACGAACAAGTTATCACGTATGAGAAATTTACATAAACATGAGAATTTTAAATTAATTTAAAATCTTAAAAGTAAAATAATTTTAACATTTGAGAAGACTGGAATGTATATAAAAGTAAAAGGAATCTAAAATAGACATGATGTTGCACGAACAAACGGTGCTCATACGTGGTCATGTGTGATTATGGGTCTGAAATGCCCGTTTTCCTGGCAAACATGCAGCTACTGCAAAGCGGAGTAATCACAAAGAGTTTCAAAATTGCTTTGCAATAGATGTGATTAATCACAACCACATGAAATGTAAGCTTTTTTAAAAATAATAGTTATACTTTCCATTGTATACCTAATATACCTACCACTTAATCTTAACTTTTGCATCTTGCTCAAATTTTCAGAAAATGGTTGTCACATCTAAGATGGAATGTTAACTCATATTGATTTAGTTCATATAAAGATCTTCCAGGTTGTTGTTATATTTAAAAAAATATTTATTGTTTTAATCGTTTTTTTTTCGTAGAGAGAACCGAACCATGAGATGATTATAAGTAAATTTTTGAATATAAAAATTGGAAGATGTTTATATAAATTAAATTAATATGGACAACCAACCCAGATTCAAACCATTTGAAGAATGTAAACTTTCACTGCTTCCCACTCAGTAAACACAACGAGCCTTGCGATTTCTGTGAGCTCAAAATAGAGAAAATTAATTACTCATCACCCATTGTTTGAGTTAAAAGGAATGTTTATATTATACTTTAAGCTTTTTCAATTCAATTGTTCACCTTTTTTTCAATATTTAAACACTATTTTCAATAATTTATAATAATTTGATGTACTCTGTTTGTATGGTTAGTCTCTGAGAATATATTAACGATCAAATTTTAAAATTGGTTAGAACAATTGTTCTTTCCTTCAACATATGCTTTTGTTGCATTTCAGGAGTTATTACAAACAGATTGACGTCATTAAGAAATGTTTTTGATGCTTCTCCTTTGGGAAGATTGAAGAAATTGGCATTTGAAGATTCGGATATCAAGGATGAAGCAGCGAATTGTTATTTAAATGACTTTTTACATATGATGTATAAGCCAATTGTTAAAAATGAGCTAAAGGTTTGTTAACTTTGAATATTCAATGTGCTGGCCAATGCGTTCAAAGCACATTTTTAAGAGCAACGTACGTTTTGGTCACCGATAGTTGTAAAGCAACATTTATAGAAATGGACGTATACACGTTTAAACAAATGTTATACTTCTATTTTACCAGTTGATATACGACGCTGTACTTTATGACGTCTTGGCAAATAACTAAAGTTTTCATGAAAACGATGAATTTCACCTGGACATTCCCTCTTATTCATTTTGCCTATTCCATGATTCAATCACGTTTGCTGAATTTCTCTGAACTTGTTCATGCATTTCCTCAAGTGGTAGAAAAACGTATGGAGTCTCCATTACCAATTAAAGATTTAGAATTGGTAATTCACAAAGTTAATTACCTGTTGATTTGTAGAATATTGTTGCTATAGAAGTATAGACGTGATATGTAATTTTATACTCTACCCACCGATTTTTGTTTTGTCAAAGCATGTACAGCGAATTTTAATACTTTATCTTCACTTCATTACAAGTATTCAAAACAGTAGCATTTGACTAAAAAACTTTGTACAATGGTATACTTTCTCCCACCATTTTAGTGCCTAGATGCAGTAGCACTTCAGTGTTGTCTAGAAGAACTGGAGCCTAGTTTAAATAATTTTACGAGTCTTCGTAAACGAAAGACGTAGTGTGTAATCAAGTTCAATGTCTACGTCCAATCATTCAGGTTATGAAATCGCAATAACGGAGTGGGAACTCAAAAATGTTGTTCCTCTTTTGTCAGAAAAAATCTGAGCAGATTTTGAAAGTTTGTTGGTAAGGAATTGATCTTTGGATAAAATATGCAAGAATTGTGTTTATGATATCATGGCTATGAGAAAAGGAGACTGAGTACGAACATAGTGCATGATATCATAGCAATAATCAAGTAAGCTGATACATCATGTTTTATTAAAGAATTTTTATACACACATAAAAATCTTTCATGTATATTTGTTTGTCTAAAATGTGGTATATAAAGAAAATGTTCAAAATATCCTTCATTAGGTCGCTATGAGCTCGATGTTTTAGACATTAATTTTTAACACCTACTAAAAGTTACATTCCGTTCTTACGTGTTTTATATATAGGATCATGTTCACACGTTTGGATGTTGTGCGTATGTTTATTGAACACACTTGTCCACCTGAGGAGTTAAATCATACTGATGATGGTCGTAATGCTTTGAAATTGTTAAAGGTAAAGTTTTCACGTATTAGCTTACATCCATACTTCATTTCTGTTGAATGGAAACGCCTTTTAAAAAAGGCGTTTTTGTATTAAATCATTTTGAATTTTTTTGCTATGCAGTACGGTCGAGTAAGACACAGCTTTACTGATACACGTGGACTGTCAATAAACTTGTGTCCTGTTGTATTTTATGCATCATGTTAAGTTCAATAACCAAGTTGTAAAGGTTACGAATTTGAAAAAGCAAAGCCACTGATTTTCAACAGCAGACTTGAATGGATTTCCTTTAGCTCCTATTTTCTTTTCTAGGCATTAGGTGAAAGTCCCGATTTAACCTCACTACGTACTATAGTTGTTATTGAAAGATTTTTGAAAGACTGTAGTGAAGATTTGCATAAACGAATTGTCAAGTAAGTATACCGATAAAGAGTCACGGTTAATAACATTTGTGGTAATGATCATAATTTTCATAAAATGCATGTTGATCTCCTACATTGTGGTATTAATTTTGAAAAACAAACCCAGCAATATACTTTTACTGTTTTAAGTGTTTGTGTTAAAATACAATGCATTCAATAATAAATTTTGTATCATAGCAACACATTTTGTTACAATTTATCTGCGCATTAAAGATTTCCTTAACATGGAACCTTAGTTGTATGTTCATTTATGTTATACTTAGTGAATTATTATAATGTTAGATTTGATGACGAATGCGCCATTTGCAAGAGATCACTTCAAGATCCTGTACAGCTACCATGTCGTCACGTGTTTTGTTTATCTTGCATAACCAATTGGCTTAACGATCATGACGTATGTCCTGCATGTAGACACGATGTTGGCAATGATTTTCAATTGCAAATTAATGAAACAATAAGGTAACTGTTTTGTATTCAAAGCTTTACAATCAAAGTAGACATGTGTATATTTAATGTATGGTATAAACGTTTGGTCATAAATTATGGCGTCTTGTCCAGAAAATTAACGTTCATTCTCCACTTGAATGAGTCGTTTTTGCTTTTATATATGTGCTTATGAAATGAAAATATTGCTTTTTAATTTATAGTTTTATTTAAAAGAACTTTTAGATTGATAGTAGACTTTCTTAAACAGCTAGATTTGATAAACATGTAATTTAAAAAGTAAAATTTTCCATTTACAAGTACTGTATTTATTTAGGCTTTCGTTGGAGTTGTGGAGAAGTTTTCGTAATCGTTGCAAATCCTTTTTCATGAATGTTGTCTCTGTTTATTGCTTTGGTGATGATTTACCGCAAGATGAACTTGTAAAAAAATTCATTGCTTATGTGATAAACGATGAAAAATTCACAGAAGATTTTTCTCCTTTCGATGGTCACAGCATTGATGTAACTCCAGTTATAAGATCATACATTTTACAACAACTTCTTGCAATCAAAGGAAGGTATGTTAATGCTGAGAAAATCAAATAATTCCACTACGTTTTAGTTGCTAAAATTTTGATTACATTAAATGAGAAACGTCATTTTTGTTTGTGTTTCTGCAAAGAAAATTAGTGATTAGTGTTATTTATGCTAAAGTTCGAGCGCGATTTTGCCGAGTAATGGCAATGTCTTCTGGAAATCCGTTTCAGTGATAACCTTTCTATTTACTTGTACATTGTAAGCTCTTGCTTCATCACAAGTCATCTTTATTATAATGAGAGTGTTTTTGAATTTTTATTCAATAATTTTTTGGCAAAGCACTTTTTTTGATTGGCCAGTTACGATAACTTACAAAGGAGCGGAGAGTTTAGGTGTTTCGCGAAGAAACGGTCAATATTCTAGCAGAACAGATCAATTTGCGTTGTTGCTATCAAAGAATTATTGTATTGTATTGTATTGTATTATAAGAATGCATTTTTAAGGGAAAAAGAAGTTTGTACGCATTTAGAAGAATATCTCTGTCGTGCTCAAGGTTTATCTACCAACAAGGAACATTTGATGAACGTTTGCGTGTTGTTTGTTCATTGTATCGAGGTAAATTACGTTTTTATAAAATCATTTTTCAAAATTTTGGGTGCTTTTATTTCTTTGTTGTTAAAGACATAATTCACTTATAAATCTGTTGTTTTGTAGTAAAGTGTGTTTAGTTTGTAGGATAATGTAAAAATTCGAGGTGAATTTTTAAAAAATTGCATAATTATAGCTTTTGGTTTTATTTTCTCTTAGGATGTTGAAATAGGGAAATTATTAAAAGCAAAACAAACTGAAGGCAGTGTTGAAATCAACATGTTGTGCAGAATCCTTGATAGAACACTGAGGAATTTTTGTACCTACAAAACCCTGAACATTTACAGCCTTAAAGATGTTGCTGCAATTCGGGCTGCGTTTAGTGAACTTCCTGCATATTTCAATGACGATCTTCCGAAAACTTAAAGAGCAATGCGGAACTTAGAAAATGCATCCAAGCAGCTAAACATTTATGTGACAATGAATATGCTCTTCAGTTATTCCTACTAAAACAGTTGGTCCATAATGATCTAAATGGTTTCGATGGAGTTAAAGAAAGATGTAAGATCAAAGAATTGAAATGGATTTTGCCTCCACAATCTGAGGTAACCACTTGTTCACTTATTAGCTATTTTATACGTACTTGTGTGGTTTGTTTTATTCTTGAAATAAGTTGTATTATTAACGATGTCAAATATTTGATCTTCAAATTCAAATTAGCAATTTATCATATGATATGCTTAGATATAGCACGCTTATGTACAAGGCCACCATTACAATGTTGAAGTTGCATGCTTTCTGATACGTTTCGAAGCAGTTTAAAAAAGTAAAGAATGATTGTTGTTGTATATTCACTATGTGAAAAAACTTTGACTTTTCTGTCTTTTGCATGTCCATATCTATAGGAGCGTGACAAAAGACCAGACAGTTTCATGGTCCATCACGACAATTATCGTACAGTACGAGAAGCTATTGGCAAAGCAATAATAACATCAAATTATGAAGACACACAGTTGATCTTGAGGGTAAGATAATTTATTTTCCTTATAACAACAAGATTGTTTTCACATGGCCAATGTATATTTATACAGCATAATATAAAATTGAGGCTGAAATCATGTTTCTTTTGATATGATATTTATATAGTTGAGCAAACCTACACTCCTTCAATGAATTTGATGTTTACGTTTACTCTATTTGTGATTAGTATTATGTGCAGGTTTTGATTTGCCTAGCTATCAACATTTTCAACATAACATTTAAAACAACAAACTATTTCAAAATGTCTTAGAGCATCAGGCTTATTTTGTAAAATATCGAATGACTGCTGTGAAAATATTTATGCCCTATACTTGTTTGGAGTTACAATCATCTGCTGAATTGAAGATCTCTAAGATTTTTCTTCTGTGAGAGAAATGCAGTTAGTCAAATCAGCCATAGTAACGTTACAAACTTGTTATATTTTATTTTTTTAGAACATGACCTGTGATGATCGTGCACAGTCATGTTATATTCTACTTGCAGTTTATTGCGAAATAATGACCAACTTTTCCACTGAAAACGTAGAAGATCGGATTCCTTCAAAGGTATATTTATTGATCTTTATCAAAGACTATGTTGCAGGATTTTCTCCCCCCCTGACCTTCTCTGTAATTGGGAAGATGATTTTTTACTTCTTGCTCTTACTTACTTTATGTTTACGAATCGAATCGATTTTTTAGATCGAGAAACTTGTTTTCTGTCCATAAATCTAGCAATTGAAAATTTCGTAAAAGATTTTGTATAATCTTTACGGAAAAATATATGGACATATTTTTTGAATATTATGGAAAATACATTGTCATAGGTAAATGTATTCTGTAAAGAGTGTTGGTCAGGAAACATTATTTATACAATAAAAAAATACTTTTTTTGTTATTATGTTCGTATGAATGGTTAATATAGTTTTAATTTTAGATTGTGGAACAACTCGATGAATGTCTTACTGGATGTCAGGTTTTAGCAACTCAGGTATTTTGTGTGCAGAAACAATGCTTTGGAATCTTATATACAGGCAGTTAAAAAAATTACTCTGCAAAAAACTTTAATTTCATAGGGTAGCAGTGGAACAAAATGCCAAAACATTAGATATCACTTACACTATGCAAAAAATAAAAGTGTAGTAACTAGTGGATTCGTCATTGCTTGTTGTGCTTTAGTTACAGGTTGGCAGTTGTTGCACGTGCACTATTCATTACTATCAAATATTAAAAGATAAATCTTGAGCAGTTCTTTTTTACTTTCTGAGTATAATTTAAGTATTATGGATCATGCATTGTTTTGGGAAGTGCAAAATTAATTTTGGAAATGTTGTAATTTTTTTTGGAATATAAGCTGATTTTTGAACACAATTAATGCTTAACACTCAAGCCATTTCAATTTAAATCTCTTTAAGCTACCTCTTGCGAAGAATCTCTTGGTGAATTTTGACAACAGTCCTCATCAGCAATTACTTCAGCTGTACAGTGACCAAACCTTAAATGATAGACGTTTAAATGAAATCTTGATTCATTTCCTTGTTGTTATGAGTTGCTTTCCAAATAATCAACTTTTGGCTCCCTTCTCAAATCTTGCATTCAATCCAGGATCAATGAGGGTATGTGTTTACAATATTCATTTATATAATCGTAAATATAAACATAACAGTGACCAACTTAAATTATTAATGAGTTCTATTTTAATTTAATTCGGGAGTATCTTTTCATGACTGTATAGAGTAGATTGTCCAATTGAGTTTTGCGAAGGAATGTTGGTGTTGTTTAACAACCTTAGTGGCAGTAATTTCCGTCACTAACAGCACTTTATTTAACATAGATGTACAATTTAGTGTTGATTATTGTCAGAAACGACGTGAAATAATTAGTAAGACAGATGACAGTTTTTTATTTATGGAATTCCTTTCTAAGAGTGCGTTTATTCCCACCATGCCTCAAGATGATGGTCCCGAGGTCATGGGCGTCGGCCCAGGCTCGTGGTATGGTAAGTTATAGAGATTGACTCTGCATAAGATGCTCTAATACTTAACCTATGGTGGTATTATGTACACTTTTGTAATTTTTTTTACCCCTCCAGAATGCATTAACGGACATCGTTATGTCATCACTGATGTAAGTTTCTTTTAACATAAGTATGTTTTTGTGCGCAATTATTTTTTTTGAATGTGCTCCTGGTTTTACCTTTTATGTAAAATATTTATGCAAAGGCAAAAATTGAAAACTGTAACACATTTTGTGTTTGTACATTTTAAACACTGTTATTTTTTTCAATCAATGTAGTGTGGACTTCCAAACCAAGCATATAATTGCCCAACTTGTGGTGTTCCTATAGGAGGGTTAAATCATAGGCTAGCAGCTGATAATAGACAGGCATCGAGGTTAGTCTTTGCATGCTTGCATAAATTTGTTTTGTATTTCGTAAGAATCTTAGAACTAACATAAAAACCTTGACATGTGTTGGTTGTCCTTTTTTACCTTTTTTCTGCCTTTGATTGGTACAATCGGGTTTAAAATCTAGCTTTAATCGTATTATTTTACTAATGATAGTTTTAAAATAATGATGTTCTTTTGTCGTTGTTTGCTCGTATTTTTACGTAGTTTCCGTATCTCCTTTAGTGCAGATCGAAGTAGTACCGGTCATATTCTAGGACGTGCACAGGATCAACCTCCAAGTGCACAAAGAAATTTGAACCCATTATCGTGTTGTGTTTTACGTTGTTTGACACATGTGGCTATGTTGTTAGGAACAACTCCCGATCAAATTCAGGTAAGTGTAAAATAGTGGTATGCATTTAAATGAATTTCATTCCTTCACAAATTCATTCGTTATTACTGTGTGTTAAAGTTGATGCCAACTTCAATTGATTTTATTTCAATTCATGTCTAAGCAAACTGAATAAGTGTGGATTTACGACATATTTTATATACATTTTAATTTCTAACCCAGCTCAAGATTTAACATATTCTGTCGAAAGCAACTAGATTCAATGGCTTCTATTCCAAAGCCATCATTAGAACATGAGAATCATTAGAACATGAATTAGTGTTCCAGCTGTTTCTTACACATTTTTAGTGTAAGCTTTTTTTAGCCAAACTTTTCATTATTGTAGCTTAAGATTAATGCTGAAGTTTTCCAATGCTATAATTTTTCTATGATTATAATTTTTTAGAATATTTCAGCTATTATCAAACCACCTGTTAATAACGTTGTTCAATTCATAAAAGATCATATAGAAAATGATCTACGTTGCATTGCAAGATTTGTTGGTACAAATATTGAACAAGCTGCTATGATCATCCATCTTATTTTTGTACAAATCGTAAAAAATAATCATGGTTTGTTTCTTTTTTTTTGTTATTATAAATGGGCCTAAATTTTTGGTGAAAAATTAAAAGTTGTGTCACAAATTAAAAAACAGTTTACACTGGCTGGTAAAATTTAACAGATAAACCTGTCAAACATACCACTTTAAACGCGTTTGCTGATTTTGTTTTGTAGCAGCATACCATCAATCAACTTTATTTACAATTTTTGAAGTTTATATTAAAATTTCCCAAGACAGTCATCTGACGATTTACCGTATTTTGATTTTCTATTACATTATCTAAAATTTAGTTTCTTTCTTTTCTACTGTTTTTGGAGATCATTAAAAGAAATATTTTCACCACGTTACTCATGCATGATTTTAGAAGTTATGTGACCAACGACCACGTTGTGTACTGAATTGTAATAAACAAAACGTTCATTGCGAAGTAAGAGAAATATCAGTACTTTGGTTGGTCACAACTAAAATCGTGAAGGAAAATATACAATACTTTTATAACGTACCAATAGGCAACATTATATTCAAAAATATAAAGTCCATCCAATTCAGTTTCAATCCTAAGAAGCAACCTTCACTTTAAAATATTTCAGTAGTTTTTACATTTGCTTTTGTAATACATGACTCGACACAAACCCCTATTCTTTCGGCTATCCATTAACAAATCCAATTGTTTATTGATCATAAAAAATCTTTTTTGTCAAAACGTTTGGATCGGGTGATAATTTTTGTCTAAATTTGCCATCGTTAGGAAATATCAATGCCATTCAATCTTATTTGACCAGTAAAGTGTCAAGACAAGCTTGGGAAGATGCATTTATGAATACCTACCTTAGTCCTGTTCTATCAGTAAGTTATCGTGTGTTTTTTTACTAACCAATACCCCAGGCAAGTAGACAAAATGAAAAAAAAACAACAGAAAATCTGAAAATGATCATCTTATACTGGTGATTTTGTAGTTTTTTGCGTTTTGGTATTTAATAAATATTAAACAATTTGTGTTACAGTAACATATTTTCTTTTAAGGTTGTTTCACAGTTGTTGCAAGATGCCTTAGGTAAAATGGTCA